ATGATCATCATCAGTACGCGACTAATAGTAATAATAATAGTGAGGAGGAGAAACAGCAGCACTTCCCTTTCTTTCCTGTACCCTGACTGACGCGCTTTAGCAACAACCCAGGAGCCACCACCCAGCTTCCAGTCGGTGACCAACGGCCGTGTCTCCAACACCCCCAAGCCGCGACTCCACGACGGGAAGCCATTTTCCCCCCGGCCAGAAGATGCCAGGTGCTCGGGGCTCCGGTGACAACACCGACCCAGCCCGCCCCCCAGCCGGGTCCCCGCGTCCGCCGGTCCCAGCACAAAGGAGACCCGCCCCGGTGCCCGCCCCACCCGACGGGCGGACGGCCCTGCGGCCGCCGGGACCCGGCGGGACCCCGGGCCGCGTCGCGGAGCCGGGGTCGGGCTCGGGGCTCACCTTCGCCCGCTTGCGCCGGCTGGTCCGCCGCCCCTCCTGAGTCTCCGCTATTCCGGTCTCCATGGGGGTCGCAGAGCCCGGCACCACCGTGGGCCCGGCCGGAGGCCCCGCGGACCCCGGAGGCTCGGCCAGGCCCCCGGGGGGCGAGGCCCGCGGAGGCTCCTTCTTGCGCGGAGTGCGCTCCCCGACCGCGCCCGGCCCGACCTCGGCGGGGCCTGCCAGGCCCGCGGGCGGCGCGGCCGCCTCCGAGCCGTTCTCGGCGCCGCCCGCCGTCCCCGGGCCGGTCTCGGTCCCGGCCGCCGCGGCCGCCGCCGCCGCCGCCGCCGCCGCGGCCGCTGCCTTCTTCCCCGACAACATTTCGGGCCGCCGGGCCGCCGCCGGCCGCAGGGGCCGCTCGGTCTGACGCTCCGTGGGTCCCGAGCCGCCTCGCTTCACACCGTCCGCGCGAAACCCGCCGCCGCCGCCGCCGCCGCCGCCGCCGCCGCTGCTGCTGCCGCGCTCGCGCAAGCGCCGTGCGCGCTCCCGCCGCGTGGAGACACAAAAAAGGGCCCGAGCCGCCCACAGGCCCCGCCTCCCCCGTACCGTGGAGCTGCGTCCTGGCGGCTAGAGCAGCGAGGTGCCGGCCTAGAGCGCCCCCTCGGGCTAGGGAGTCGCTCCCAGCGCCGTGCGAGCTCCCGGCGGACGCATCGGCCAGGCTTCCCCCGCATCGTTCGTTCCTCCGCCGTTCACTCATTCTTTCACGCACGCACTCGTGCGTCCCTTCAACCGGTGTAGCGACGCTCTCTACGAGACAAGGGATTGGAATTCCTGGCTTTCAAAGACCTCGCGGTCACTGGGGAAAACTAGAAAGAGCCGCTTGGGCCTCGGGGGCAATAAAATGGAGAAAAGTGAGATCGAGTGGAACTGTCTTCTCCGAGCCTTTGTTCTTCCTCCTGTCTGCACCCTCCCCCGCCCCACTCCATACGCCCTTGGCCCCTCCCACACAGCCCGGCCCGGTCCCCCCGCGTCCCAATCCCCCTCCCCATCCCACACAGCCCCAGCCCTCCCCCCCCCCCGCATCCCAACCCTCCCTCCCCATCCCACACAGCCCCGGCCCACCCCCACATCCCAACCCCCCCCTCCCACACAGCCCCAGCCCACCCCTCTGCATCCCAACCCCCCTCCCCATCCCATACAGCCCCAGCCCACCCCTCTGCATCCCAACCCCCCTCCCCATCCCACACAGCCCCAGCCCACCCCTCTGCATCCCAACCCCCCTCCCCATCCCACACAGCCCCAGCCCACCCCTCTGCATCCCAATCCCCCTCCCCATCCCACACAGCCCCAGCCCTCCCCCCCGCATCCCAACCCCCCCTCCCCATCCCACACAGCCCCAGCCCACCCCTCTGCATCCCAACCCCCCTCCCCATCCCATACAGCCCCGGCCCACCCCCACAACCCAATCTCCCCATCCCGCACAGTATCCCAAACCCCCTCCCCATCCCACACAGCCCCAGCCCACCCCCCATCCCAACCCCCCATCCCACACACTCGGTTCATTCCACCCAGTCCATCCCCGCCCATCTCAGCCCACCCCCCCCCACTCCCGTCCCACACACCCCTTCGGCCCATTCCCCCCCCCTTCTCTACATAAAGACCCTGCAAGGACCCAGTCTTGGAACAGGTCCTCTGTTTTTCCAATTTATTTCCCATTATTTACCCAGATCTACACTGCCTGTCTTTAAAGTAACTATGTTTTTTAAAGCCATTAACTTTACATGAAGTTTAAGAACTGGTAATACCACTCTGTGGTGATGAAATCCAGTCTGGCTGGCTTAGAATAGGATAGGTTGGCTACAAAAGAGCAGGAGGGAACTAGCTAGAGGAAAAAACAATTTTTTTTTTTAATTTTGAGGTTCGGGGGTTTGAACTCAGAGCTTCTTCCTTGCTAAGCATGCACTCTTACACTTGTACCAGGCGCTCCATTCTGGAGGAAAATGTTATCTTGTTTGGGATGATGGACAAGGATGTAAATATTCATCAAAACTCATTGATCTAGGGACTGGGAAGGTGGATCAGTGGTAGAGTGCTTACATGCATGAGGCCCTGGGTTCGATTCCTCAGCACCACCTAAGCAGAAAAATGCCAGGAGTGGCTCAAGTGGTAGAGGGCTAGCCTTGAGCTGAAGAACTGAGGGACAGTGCCCAGGCCCAGAGTTCAGTCCCCATGACTGGCCAAAAAAACTTACTGATCTACCAGGTGCCAGGCTACTCAAGAGGCTGAGATCTCAGGATTGCAAGTTCAAAGCCAGCCCTAGCAGGAAAGTCTGTGAGACCTTTTTTTTTTTTTTTTCCCAGTTGTGGGGACTGAACTCTGGGCCTAGGCTCTGTCCCTCCCTCTTCAGCTCAAGGCTAGCACTCTACCACTTGAGCCACAGCGCCACTTCCAGATTGATTTTCTGCTTATGTGGTGCTGAGGAAATCGAACCCAGGGCCTCATCATGCATGCAAGGCAAGCACTCTACCACTGAGCCACCTTCCTAGCCCTGTGAGATTCTTATCTCCAGTTAACCATCAGAAAACCAGAAGTGGTGCTGTGGTGCTGTGGCTCAAGTGGTAGAGCACTAGCCTTGAGCTGAATAGCTCAGGGACAGCACCCAGGCACAGAATTCAAGCCCCACGACCAAAAAAACCCCCAAAACAAAAACAAAGTAACTCAGCCAGGTGCCAGTGGCTCACACCCGTAATCCTAGCTACTCAGGAGGCTGAGATCTGAGGATCACAGCTCAAAGCCAGCCCAGGCAATAAAGTCCATGAGACTCTTAGCTCCAATAAACCACTCGAAAACCAGAAGTGGTGCTGTGGCTTAAGTGGTAGAGTGCTTGCCTTAAACTAAAGAGCGCAGGGACAGTGCCCAGGCCCAGAGTTCAAGCCCCATGACCGACAAAAAAAAAAAAAACAAAAACCTCATTGATCTATGTAAAAGAGGCATATTTGTATATGTGTATTTGTTTTATATAAACAACCAGGATGTGGTGGTACACCTCTGTAATCTCAGCTACTTAGGAGTTGAAGGCAGGAGAATCCTGAGTTCCAGACCCATCTGGGCAAAGCTAGCTAGATCCCATCCCAAAGGAAATGGCTGGAGGTGTGTGCCAGAAGTAGTAAAGGGGTTGAGGGTAAAGGCTGCTCAATCCCTAGGATCAATTCCCAGTACACTAGAGGAAAAAAAGAAAAGCAGACAAGAAAAAGGTTGCACAACTAAGTCCAGGAAGGGGGAAAAACCCTACAAGACAAAAAAGATGTAACTCTAGGCAATTCATGTCTCAGCTATGAACGCTATTCACATGGCCATTATAAACATCATCCATGAATTCTGTTTTAATCAAAGTGATTATTATTGAGCCAGCAGAGTTTGTGGGGAAAAGTTGATGGATTTGAGGGAGGGCTGATGAGGTGGGCATGGAGGAGCTAAATCCTCCTCCATTATAAAAGGATGTCAAAATAAAGAAGTCAAGAAATAACTGTATAAACATACTTTTATTAAACAACTTCCCCTTCTCCCCTCCAGCCCCTGGCAGCCCCCCTCCACTTTCTGCCTTCATAAATTTGACTCCTCTAGGTACCTCACAGAATGTGTCTTTCCATAACTGGCGTATTTCACTCAGAATAATGTCTTTAACAGGCCATGATTCCCTTCCTCTTCAAGGCCGGGCAATATTCCATGGTGTGTATAAATTACATTTTGTTGTTGTTTGTAGTCATGGGGCTTGAACTCAGGGCCTTAGCGCTGTCCTGAGCTCCTTCACTCAAGGCTAGCATTCTACTACTTTGAGCTACAGTGCCATGTCTGGTTTTTGAATGGTTAATTGGAGATGAGTCTCATGGGGATGTTTTTGCTTGGGCTGGCTTCAAACCATGGTCCTCAGATCTCAATCTCCTGAGTTGCTAGGGTTATAGGTGTGAGCCACTGGGCCTGGCTAAAGTACATATTTTTAACCTACTCATCTATTGGAGACTTGGCTTCTGTGAATGATGCTGTGAACATGATACACGAGTATCTCCAGACTCTGTTTTCATGTCTGGAAGTGGAATTGCTAGTGCAGCTAAGCTATTTTCTAAAAGTTAATCACCTAGTCATCATTTGATAAATTATGAGTCAAAAATTTACCTTCCCCTAAACTTTAGGGCCTAAAGTTTCAGTGACAAATAGGCAGGCTTGTTAGGTGACTGTGAAAGTGCACACAATGATCTTTCTGCCTTATGTCCAAGTTCTAGGTCTTTATTTTTTATTTTTTTGCAGACACCTCCACTATTAGTAGGTGCTCTGTATCACTGGCCATCTTGCTCGCAGGAGTTAGACCTAGAAGTACTGCTGAACAGCGAAATATCACTAAGACCTACCTCACCTACCTGTTATGAGGATATCATGAGGTGATAATGGGAACTGCCTGTCAGTTTGTCACACAGTGGGTGTTTTAAGCCATAGTAGTTAATATTACTGTTACACGGAAGCTGGGTGGCAGAAGGAGGCGATTCAGAGTGGGTAGCCATGACTTTTGTCATGGCAGGGACTGAGGCAGGATCCTGAGGCCTGTCCTCCTCCATACCACAATGTTGGGGGAACTAATACTTCTTTTTAGGAGTTTCCATGGGCTTCTTGCTTCCTCAGGCACCATAGGAGCAGTGGTGGCCTGGCTGATTAGCTATAAACCAATCTTGTTTGGGTTCCTACTCTTTCTGTTGTTGCTTAGCAACTGGCTTGTCAGACATGAATTCACACCCCAGCCCTCCGAACCACAATCCCAGCAGGTAAGTAGGAAGGGACTAAGTTTCATCTGGGAGTTAGACTGGAGATGAGGGATTGCTGAGTAGGTATCAGGCTAGGGGCAAGAGTGAGGAATTCAGGACTCTCGTCTCAGTTTCTGCTCTCTGGCAGATAAGTCATTTCCTTCTCCAAAGTCTCAGTTGGCTTAGTTGTAAAATAAGGGCCATCCTTTCACCTGTTACCGGGTTCTAGAGCCACAGAGTTCTTGGCCTCATCCCAGAACTTAAGGACAGACACAGTGAAGCTTGAAGCAGAAGCAGGTCTATTAATGCAAAGCAAAGCAAATGTGTACCCACCATATGGGGTAGTGGGTAGGTTCAAGAAGGAGCTGCACTGGAAGTCCCAAGACCTCAGGTTTTATTAGGGATCTGATGGGGATGGTCAGTCCTGAAAACTGAGTGTATATGTCACTGACTTCTGTAGACTGGATTATATGTCATCCACACCTTCTGGATGTCAGGGAATTCATGGCTTTGGAAGGTTAGAGCTGAGCTCTCATTTTTTGGTAAGCTCTGCAGGCTTTGGGTAAGGAAAACCTTGTTGTATCATCATAAATCATTCCTTTCATGGCTGTCCAGGCTGTAATTTTGTATCAGTATCCAAGCAGTGTTCTTAGTCATCAGGTTTCTTAACTCCCCAATCAATATGCCCTCAAATAATGTGAGCTTTACAATCTTGTAAGGGGGATGCAGATGTCTTAGAAAGTGTTTCTTGCCATGCAGGCCTGCTGGCCCTCCCTGCAGGTGTCTGTCGGGTGGTATCTGAGGCTGAGGTGGTGGAAAGGAGCCACGGGGCAGCTGCTGGAGAGGTCTTGGCTATTGATGGTGCTCATCTTGAGGTATTGGCTGAAAACCCTGGACACCATCATTTGCAGATGAAAAAAAAAATTGTTTATGCCAGTCCTGGGGCTTGAACTCAAAGCCTGGGCACTGTCTCTTAGCTTTTTCACTCAAGGCTATCAACTCTACCACTTGAACCACAGCTCCATTTCTGGCTTTTGGGTGGTTAACTGGAAATAAGCATCTCATAGACTTTCTTGCCTGGGCTGATTTTGAACCAAGATCCTCAGATCTCAGCCTCCTGAGTAGCTAGGATTACAGGTGTAAGCCACCAGCATCTGGCTAAAATCCTAATGTGTTAATGCTAAAAATGTCATCCATCTTGTTTAGTTCTACTCTGCATCTGGAACAAAGAAGGAAGAAGAAAAGAAACAAGGAAAAGAGGTAAGTGCAGCAACTCCAGTTCTCTGGAACTTTCTTTTTGGGGGGTCTGGTTGTGGGGCCTGAACTCTGGGCCTGGGCGCTGTCCCTCAGCTCTTCAGCTCAAGGCGAGCCCTCTACCACTTGAGCCACAGCACCACTTCCGGCTTTTTTCTTTTTGCTTATGTGGTGCTGAGGAATCGAACCCAGGGCCTCATGCATGCAAGGCAAGCGCTCTACCACTGAGCCACCTTCCCAGCCCTCTCTGGAACTTTCTGTGCCTGGACACCCCCAACCACTCTACTCTGACAAAGAGATGCTGCCTTCCTTATAGTATTGTCAGGGACCACCTTGCCACAGTCTAGAGGGGCATTTCAGCTGGCCATAGAAAGGTGACTCAGATCTACTTCTGAGACCACTTGAAATGCTTTACTATCTAGGAGTACAACAATCAGACAACGTTGAGACTGACAGCCCAAAAGAGAGTTCAGGCTCTCAATTTATGACAAATAGTTGCTCCTTTGGTTATCAAAACATAGATCGTTAAGAATTAATCTTAGCTGGGTACTAGTTCACACCTGTAATCTTAGCAACTTAGAAAGCTGAGACCTGTAGGATGGAAGTTTGAAGCTAGCCCAGGCAGAAAAGTCTGTGTGATTCCATTTGCAATCCATCAGCAAAATGCTGGACTAGAGGCATACCTTGTGGGAAGGCACCAGCCATGAGCTCAACACAGTTGAGCAAGAGCATGAGGCCCTGAGTTCAAGCTCCTATACCAGTGTGTGTGTGTGTGTGTGTGTGCGTGTGCGCACGCGCATGTGTACACACAGGATTAATCTCTAGGGCTGGAGGTTTAACTTAACTAGTAGAGCACCTTTCTGAGTACACGGACCCAAGTTCAAACCTCAGTACTATCCGCCCCTCCCCCACCCCAGGAAATCTCTAGAGATTCATTCTTCACATTTAAAATGACTTTGAATCATAATTTCCATGGTTATAGAAATTTTTATTAGATAAACATTTTTCTTCTTGGGGGGCTAATACTGGGGCTGAACTCAAGGCACCACATTCCCACTTTCCTGCTCAAGGCTGGTCCATACCATTTGGACTGGGTAGAGCCTTTTCCTGGTTAGTTGGAGATGAGTCTCACAGACTTTTTTTTTGCCAGACTGGTTTTAAACCTTTATCTTCAGATCTCAGCCTTCTGAGTAGTTAGGATTGCAGGCATGAGCCACTGGCACCTGATTTAGATAAAACATTATTCTTTAGGGGGTCGGCCTTGGGATTTGAACTTGGGCCTCACACTTGCTAGGCAGGTGCTCTGGCACTTGAGCTATGGCCCCAACCATTTTTATTTAGCTATTTTTAAGGAAGGGTCTGTATTTTTGTCAAGAATCTAACCTTATACTACAATCCTTCTACTTATATTCCTGCTGCCTAGCTCCAGGGGTCTTGCTAACTCTTTCCCCAGTCTGGCTGTGAACCTTCCCCCTCCCCATTTCCACTTCCCAAGCAGATTCTACAGGTGTGAGCCAACGCACCCCGATAATAGGGTAACTTTTATAAGGGTCCAGGATGAGAGTAAAATGTAAAAGACAGTCTCGCTATATTGGTAAGGAAGCAGTTGGGTTACCAGAATCAAAGGAGAATAAAATGACTTGCTCCTTGACCATCTGGCTTGGCTCACCAAAATATGTGAACTGGTTCAGGTCACCAGATCTGGAGAATGCAAAGTTCTCCATCTCATCTGAGAAAGAACTCAAGGACAGACACTGGAGATTGAAGCAGAAAGAAAGTCTATTAATGCAAAGCAAAGCACAGTACACCCACCAGATAAGGGAGATACTCAAGAAAGAACTGCCCTGGAAGTCCCAAGATCTCAAGCTAGGGAACATGGGGTGTATATGGAGGTTGTCAGTCCTGAAAATTGGGTGGAAGTGTCATTAACTTCAGTGGCCTGGACTATACATCAACTCCTCCAACATGTCAAGCAGGGCACATCGTGGCGGTGAGAGCTTCATTTGAGGAAGACTCCATTATGTATCCCAAATCATTCCTTTAAATGTCAGCAGTCCAGGATGTACTTCCTTATCATCATCAGCATGTTTCCTAGCTCCCCATTGAGGTCTTGTGTCAATCCTCAACCCTCCTACTTCATTTGATGTCAACATCGTTGACAGCAAGCAACAATATCAGTGAGTAGATGATACTAGAGAGACACTTATCAACAGTTATGACTCTAAAATATAGTGACGAAGACAGCAAGAAGGCACAGAGATAATGCCAATGTGTTAGTCAGCTTTCTGTTACTCTAGCAGATGCCTGAAACAATCATAAGGAGAAAAGGTTTATTTTGGATAGCAGTTTTGGAAACGGAGATTCCCAAACTGCAGATTCATTGCTTTGAAACTCCAGTGGAGCAGGGGTGCGTGTGAGGGTGTGGAGGATGTATCAATACATAGGGAACCACAAACAGCTTGCCTCATGACAGGAAATGAAAAAAAGCTAAAAGGTCAAGGTCCCACAATCCCCTCTGAGAGGATGTCCCCAATCACCCAAAGACCTCCCCTGAGGATCTACCTCCTGAAGGTACCCACACCAGCAGCACTGTGATTGGAGGATCAAGCCTTTCATGTAACTCAGAGAATAAGGGAACAAAAGCAGACTGCACCTAATGTTTAAAAGCATGCAAAACCTATATTGTTCATGTAGGCACTTATGTAGTGAAAAATGCCTCAGCCTTTGGCACTTTGGTACTGACTGGGGTAATTTTTTGTTTTGAGGTTCATCCTGTACATGAAGTATAGCAGTGTTCTACCCTCTGTATGGGAGATGTCAGTATAGAACTCCCTACCTTAGCTTGTGAAAAACAAAAACCATCCCCAAGCATTGCTAAAAGTGTCCCAAGGAAGGCAAATAGCCTTCCATAAAATTAAATTTTCCATGAAAGAAATAAGTACCGAAGTCAAGGAGGTGACGTTGGGGTGGAAGAGGAGTTACCGTGGGGAGGAGGGATCAACAGTGACTTCAGTTATGTTGGTGAGATTTTATTTCTTAAGCTTGTGTGAGAACACAGGAATTTGGTATACTCTTTTTATACACTGGAATATTTCATTTTAAAAGGTTTTAAAGCTCCAAAGTTTCTAATAAAAAAAAAAAATCAGGAAAAAATAACATGACTGTTCACTAGGGGGAAGGGGCAGAGGAAGATTAATGAGGGTCACAGAGACTTGAGCATACCGTAAGACCACAGGGACTTTGCAGTTTGAAGTCTCATTGGCCTAACAAAATGCAAAGCAAAGTTATGGAGACAGATATATTCAGGCTAAGGGCTTTATGTCTTCTATAACTAGAATATTCCTTTGAATCAGAGACAAGTGGATCTTAGGAGTTTGGAGCCTTATGATAATGAGAAAGTGACCTTCCCTCCCTGGACTCCAATTCTATTTTATTATTTTACCTTAGTTTAGTGGTACTGGGGATGGAAACTAGGTCCTCCTGCATGCTAGGCAACCTTCTATCAGTGAACAACATTCCCAGCCCATAATCCCCACCCTCCCCCAGGTTGTGGGGCTTCAACTCTGGGCCTGGGCACTGTCCCTCAGCTCTTCAGCTCAAGGCTAGCACTCTACCACTTGGGCCACAATGCCACTTCTGGTTTTTTTGGTGGTTAATTGGAGATAAGAGACTTTCCTTGCCCAGGATGGTTTTGAACTGCGATCCTCAGATCTCAGTCTCCTGAGTAGCTAGGATTACAGGCATGAGCCACTGGCTCCTGGCAGCCTTCTGGCGGTTAACTGAGATAAAAACAGTGTCAAGGACTTTCCTGCCTGGGATGGCTTCAAACCCCAGTCCTCAGATCTCAGCCTCCTGAGTAGCTAGGATTACAGATATGAGCCACCAGTGCCTGGTAGCTTTCACTCACAAACTGTAGCAAATATGCTCTCCCTGCTAGCAGGTGTGAGCACTGATTAATAGTTAAGAAAATGGCATGGAGCTGGGCATTGTGGCACATAATTCTAATCCCAGAACTCAAGAGTTTGATGCATGAGGATCAAGAATTCAAGGCTGACCTGGGCTATATAGTGAGACACCCTGTCTAAATAAATAATGCGTAAATAAGTAACAGATAAAATAGAATAGGTGTTTGGAGCAGGAAGAGATGATCATTACTGACCAACTTTACCCTTTTTCCTGGTGGGGAGCTTAGGAGGGGGAACAGAAACCACCAGTTTCCGAAGCCAACACCAACAACCGAGCTATGAACATGAAAGATATCGAGAAAATACATGCCTGCTTTGCCCTCCAGGACAAGATCCTCCAACGCTTGGTGTTCAGTGAGATGAAGCTGAAGGTCTTGGAAAGTCAGATGTTCCTCATGTGGAATAAGATCAATCACCAAGGGAGGTCTAGCAAACACTGGAGCTGCTCCAGGAGAAAAAACAGAGCACGGAGGCAGGAGTCCATTTTCTCTACCATCTCTGATTGTACTTCCAGTTTTCCCACTGAATGAGACTGAAGTGGGCTAGCCTCTGCTGATGTCTTGATCCAGCACCTTTTTGTTGTGGTGGTTCCTATAACAAATTACCTGAGACTGGGAACATTATGAAGAGGGTGATTTAGTTCACAGTTCTGGGGATAAAGAACACAGTGGGTAGCATCAAATGGTGGGAGTGTGTGTGTATGTGTGTGTGTGTGTGTGTGTGTGTGTGTGTGTGTGTGAGAGAGAGAGAGAGAGAGAAAGAATGAGACAGACAGGCAGAGACAGAGAGAAACAGATAGACAAAGGCAAAGAGACAGATCATGTAATGAGAAAGTAAGAGAGAAAGCCAAACTCATTTTGTAACAAACCTCTCAAGGTAACCAATCCAGTCCCAAGTCCCTGAGAAAAGCATTAATCCTTGCTGATGATAGTACCCCAATAACCTAGTCCCCTCCCACTAGGACCTACTTCTAAAGGTACTATACCATGTCACAGGACCCTTATATGGGTGAACTGCTGGCAGACAAACCAGAGCACTCAGTAAAACCAGCTGTGGAATGTTCTGGTCACACTGTAGAGAACAGGGAGACCAGAGGCTGCTAGGTCACCTCACTACCCACAGCACAGCAGGTCAAACCCAGCCCAACAGGGCTCTGGAGTCTGTGCCTTCTGCTTTCCTAGGGTCCCCTTCATCCTAGTCTAGCCCTTTGCTGTTCCTCACTCTCCTGGTCCTCCCTCCCTTCTTCCCTTGTACTCAGAGGCCAGGGCAAGCACTGCCAAGCATAGCTCTGACAGTGACCTTGCTGGCTCCCGACCCAGTGTCTCTCTGCCATGGTTGCCAGAATAAAACCATCGCATCTTCCTGGGGTGTCCAGGGCCCCCTAAGTTCTCTTCTAGCCTTCCTTCCTCTTCATCATTCATTACATCCAAGCTTCAAATGGTGTCAGAGGATGCCGAACACCAGACGCTTGTGTCTGTCTGCCATGGCTATGAACTACCAGAGTACAGGACTCAGGACTACTTTAAATTCAATACCCTAAGTGGTCTTAAAGGAAAAAGATTTTTCTATACATGTTTAGCAAGTATTTTTTTTTCTTTTGGTTATGGAGCTTGAACTCTGGGCCTAGATGCTGTTCCTGAGTTCTTCAGCTCAAGGCTAGTGCGCTATCACTTGAGCCACAGCACCACTTCCGGTTTTCTGGTGGCTAATTGGAGATGAGTCTCATAGCCTTTCCTGCCCAGGCTGGCTTTGAACCATGATCCTAAGATCTCAGCCTCCTGAGTAGCTAGAATTACAGGCATGAGCCACCAGTGCCCAGCTAGGAAAGTCTGTGAGACTTTTACTTCCAATTAATCACCAGAAAACTGGAAGTGGCATTGTGGCTCAAGCGGTAGAGTGCTTGCCTTGAGCTGAATTGCACAGGGATGAGCACCCAGGCCCAGAGTTCAAGCCCCACGACCACCACCACCACCAACAACAACAACAACAACAACAACAAAAATTGGCTTATACAACAATGCTTGATAAGAAATGTACTTATTACCTTGCTCCTTGCTCATGTAATTGTAAACCCTCTGTACACAAAAAGATAAAAAAACTGTAAAAAAAAATTTGGCTTATAGGCTGGGAAAGTGGCTCAGTGGTAGAGGGCTTGCCTTGCATGCATGAGGCCCAGGGTTCGATTCCTCTGTGCCACATAAGCAGAAAAAGCTGGAAGTGGCGCTGTGGCTCAAGTGGTAGAGCGCTAGCCTTGAGCTGAATAGCTGAGGGACAGTGCCCAGGCCCAGAGTTCAGACTCCACGACCAACATAAATAAATAAATAAATAAATAAATACTGTCTTAAACTGGACACAACTATAAAAATGATGGTAGAAACAAGCCATGTTAAAGTTCCAACCAGAGCTTCTCTGCCACTGGACCACAGCTGATGAATCTGGGGTTAAAAGATGAGTTAGCAAGTGTTGAGTCGGAGGCAGGCTGGCCTCACTCTGAGGTTCTCCACAAGGAGAACCATCTCTCTGGGACTCCGTGTGACCTAATGCCAGGATGGCATCTCACTGGCAGTCACCTCTCAGCACAATTCCTTCGTGATATTTTGGGGGGTGGGGTGGGGAATTACTGGAGTTTGAACTCAGGGCCTCATATTTCCTAAGTGGGTACTCTACTATTGAGCCATGCCTCCAGACCTGTTTATCCACTTTAAAAATATAGAGTGTTATAGCAGAGCAGACCACAGTCGAAAGCATTTCTGAGCCTTGGGTCTGCACAGCCACAGCCACAGGCATGAATGGAGCTGCGCACTGCCCTCTGTAACAATCATTCCTAGTTTAGACATGACTCACATGCATGCAAGCCTTTATTGTAGCCCTAGACTTTGGGCCAACATCATATGTTTACCTTTGTGTAGTACCAATGCTCCCAGAGCCAGCCTCTAGTGCCAGCAAGGCTCTCCTGGGTATTCACCGATGCTGATTTTCCTCTGAGAACCCACAACTGCTCAGCCATGCTGGAAGAAATGACTTGGGGCCAGTCAGGGCACTACTCATGAATCCACGGCTACTGCTCCATAACCCTGTACCTTGGGACTACTGGCTGACCAGCCAGCAGAAAAGCCATGCTGACCAATGTCCCAGTGGCTTCTGCTGGGGACAAGAGCCCATGGAGCCATTGTAGGAATATCCATGGAAGGTTACACAAAGGACAAGTATGATTGCTTATCCAGAAAGAGGGTGGTTGAGTTCCCTCACTCCCAGGGCGATAGTAGGAGATGGTCTTGAGTCATGAGTGGAAAGCACCCCTCTCCCCGTGGGGGGCTTTCCAAGGAGAGGCAGGTGAGAGCTGAGATTTTATATGTGGACACATGCTGCCACCTTGTGGCAACTTTGCTGTATGGATTCTGGTCGGAGTAAATTCAGAGCCTCGAGAGGGAGAAAAAAAAAAAAAAAAAGCTGCATCTGGCTGGGTGCTGGTGGCTCATGCCTGTAATCCTAGTTATTCAGGAGACTGAGATCCAAAAAAGCCAGAAGTGGCGCTGCAGCTCAAGTAGTAGAGTGCTAGCCTTGAGGAAAAAAAATCTCAGAAACAGCACCCAAGCCCTCAGTTCAAGCGCCAGGACACACACACACACACACACACACACACACACACACACACACTAAAAACAAACAAAACTTGTATCTGGTGCTAGAGCCAACATAAAGGAGGACCTCTCAGACAGCAGCTGGAGGATGCCCTGTGGGCCTCTGGAGTGGATTACCTGATCCAGGTAGTTAGCTTAGCTTTGAGACCTCACATGTTGGAGTCTCAATCTCAACTTACCACTTCCTGAGGACCTTGCTCCTCCAAGGATCAGCTTCCTGGGCTGTGAAAGGGAACCTGCTCTGTGGGACTGCTGTGCAGAACAAAGCCTAGAGTACACGGCAGGGCCGGGGCACAAGCCCTGTCTGTGCCCTGGGAGCTGCTCAGCCCCCTGTGAGCAATCAAGCTTCCCTGCTCACCAATGGAAAAGAGCTGGATCCCAGCTCTGTTGCCATGGCTAAAGTTGCTTTGGATCTGATCTTGGCAAGTCATTTCCTCTCTTAGCCACTCGATGTGAGGTGAAGTTGGGACAAAAATCTCTCAGATTTTCCGCCCTGGGGATCCAGAAGGCCCAGAAGGCTTGCCTCCTCCCATCCACACACCCAACCACAAGTATCTGAAGTATCAGGGAAAGGGAGCAATTTGAGCCTTGTCCTACCACCAGTGCCGGAGAGGCTCTGTGGAGAAGGATGCTGAGGAGGAAGAGGTCTCTTGGTTGCTGAGGGGCCATGGAGCAGCATCGGCATCGCCCAGGAGCACCTCAGAGACAGACTCTCAGCCCCCACCTCGCTTGGCGCCTCAGCAGCTATATAGCTCCAGTAGTCACCAGTATTCCCCTATGCACAGCTGGGCATCCAGGACTGGCATGTAAATTGGGACAGAACAGAACCTGGCCTGCGGCCACATTTCAACCTTGACTACACAGTAGCAAAACAGAACTTTTGGAAAATGGTGGCATCCAGACTGCAACACCTGGACTCTATGGAGGCCTGACCCAAGGATCTGAGTGAGGGGCAGGAAGGTTTTAACTTCTGTGTCAACTAAAGATGGAAGATGGGCAATCCTGGAATGTCTGCAGAGAAAGATCTAATGGCTGCCACAGGGACTATATGTTGATGTTTGGCTTCAAAGCACCCTCCTAAGGTTCTAACACCCAGGCTGCTGCTTTACAAGCACGTTGCAATGTTTTCTCCCTCCCTTCCGCTATCCTCTTCTTCTTTTCCCTCCCTTCTCCACTGCTTTTTCTTATGAGACAAAGTCTTGCTTTGTAGCCCATGCTAGTCCCGAACTCATGGACCCTCTAGCCCCAGCTTCCCAAGTACAGGCATGAGCCATCACATTCTTTTTGTTTGCTTTCGTGCGGTGCGAGGGATTGAACACAGAACCTTAGACATGCTAGGCAAGCAGTCCACAACATAGCTACCTCCCCAGCCCATTGCTATCTGGTCCTGACACCAACTGAGCTCTCACCATCCCCATTTTATACACAAAAACAACAGGGAGAGTCTAGTGTCTGTAACCCTAGCTACTTGGGAGGCTGGAATCTGAGGATTGAATCAAAGCCAACCGGGGAAGACAGATCTGAGAGACGCTTACCTTCAGTTAACCACCAAATAGCAAGGAGTGGAGCTATAGCTAAAAGGGTAGAACACTAGTCTCACATAAAAAAACACTAAAGGAAGCCAGGTGCTAGTGGCTCACGCCTGTAATTCTAGCTAGTCAGGAGTCTGAGATCTGAGGATAGCCATTCACAGTCATCTTGGGCAGAAAAGTCTGTGAGATTCTAATCTCCAATTAACCACCAGAAAACCTTAAGTGGCGCTGTGGCTCAAAGTGGTAGAGCTCTAGCCTTGAGCGAAGAGTTCAGGGACAGTGCCCTGAGTTCCAGCCCCATGATCAAAAAAGAGAGAAGGAAACAAAGAAAGGAGAAAGAGAGAGAGTGGCTGGTCCAGGCTCACAAAGCAGAGGCAGCACTGGGACTGACCCCAGGTTACCCAGCGTGATTCAAGCAAACACCATGGTCCTTAGCAGTAACTGAGGAACTGGGGTGGGTCCAACCCTGCAGCCACCATGTTACCTGTCCACACTG